GGAAAGAAACGCCACTTCCCCAGGGGTTAAGACAATCTTCCACGCAAGAAAGAAACAACAGCTTTATGCCCCTGAATACTGAAGCTGGCCTCCAGGTCCTCCAGAAGCCAGGGGAGAAATTCCCGCTGAACACCGTTAGGTGAGGCATTATCCCAGCGGCTCCCCGCTGGAGCCCGTCCTCAGATGCTCCCCTTAAATGAGGCATTAGGAGCTCTACAACCTAAGACAACACGGGAAGATGCCTTGGGGAAAGCAACAAAAGGATCCCAAAGCAACCCTATAGATGCGTCCTGGGCCTGGGGAAATGGGAGACCATGCTCCAGCCAACGCTCCTTGTGTTTATCCTGAAACCCTCCTCGGGAGAGGGGGGAGTCGGAGGGGAGCTGAGTCAAGAGGCTCCTCCTCAGATCTGGCCCGTCCTGAGATGGAGCAATGGAAAAGCAGAGCAAACATTCAAAGGGCCTTTTGCTCTCCTCTTCTGCTAGGAAATACCTCGTTCCGCTTCTTGGCTGGAGCGTGCGCTCGCTGTCTGTCCAAGACGGACAGTCACCCGTGCCCAGGCGCAGTCAGAGCCTTCCTCATCTCGGGCGCGAGCCGCGGCGCTCCGGACGCGCTGCGGGTTATCAGCCCTGACCTGGGCTCTCTTCGTGAGTCACTTCCCAAAGAGCGAATGCAATAACCACCGAAGAGCTGAGCTCGGAGAGCAGTGCCGAAACCGGCTGAGCCCTGACAGCAGCTACCTTGGCACGCAGCATTGAAGGCTCTAACAACGAGCTTCACCCTTCTGCTTTAGGCTCCTCGATCCCGGAGCCGAGGCATGAGAATCCTCCATTTTTAGTATCGCTACCACTCGGCACGACGATAAACGCTATGGTTTTTGTTCTGTTCTCACCGGAGGACTAGAAAGGCCGTGGGATTTCACGCAGGCGCTCGCGGCACAGCGAGACCCGAACCCGTCGCACCCCGACCCCAACAAGGGCTCCCGCGCCCCCGTCACATCCTCCGCGGGCGGTTTTCCTGCCGACGCAGCCGGGAACGACCCCAGCGGTGGTACAATGGCCCCGGCAACTGCTGCAGTTAAAAACGACAGTTCCACGCAGAAAACCCTGCGCGCCGGTACTGCGCTAGCAAGCCGGAGAGCGTTCGCGCGAGGTGAGCGGCCGCCTTACAGAGCGCTGGAAGCCAGCGTCCTGGTCTTGCCTGAAACTCGCCGTATGTTCTGAACGGCTTCGGTGCGCTTTGAAACCTCATCCTGTTTTCCCCAAAGCAGCAGACTGTGGGAGCCGGACTACGAAAAACGTGCTGATCTGTAGGAAATATTTTGCTCTGCATCGATGATAGTTTTATTTTTGGTTTTGCACATCACCAACAAGAAGAAATGCCTTCTAAAACAGCAAGTCCTGAATGCGCATGTATGCAAAAATAAGTGAGTTTTAAATCTGCTCCCAAGCACTTCACAGCCCAAGTAAATATTAAGCTGCTCTCTAGCCAGCCAATGCAATCCTTTGCCTTTCCTCCTCTCGCAATCCCCAAACTACTGATTTCACCTTGGATCTGCCTCTGCACGAGGAGAGGCTGCGTCAAACTGAATACATTAATTGTCCATCCTTTAGGCGGAAGCTGGAGTTCCTGTTCAACTAAGAAAGTTATTCTAAGGAAGTAACGTCCAGCACAATCACATGAGCGCGCTCTGGCATGACGTTTCACCCCGACCAGCACCAGCAGAAGCGCCCTCCCACCCCACGAGCTTTGGGCACTAAAGCTGCAAGCGAAGCCCAGCTTGCCCAAACCTGACTCCCAGCCTCCTAGAGGGCTGGGAACTGCTCAGGGAGTCACTTAACCGGAGCTCTTCCAAACGCCTCACTCTGCTAGCAACAAAACGAATCACGTAAACGCAAAGATTTATCTCCCTTTCTTCCTCTTTGACCAATAATGTCCTTTGCCATCTCAAAGGCACCTACTGCCCCCGGATCATGAGGCGTTACAGGAACAACACAACTTGCCCTGGAAGGGTAATGACTTCATCTGCAACTGCGTGATGAATATGTTGTATCCAAACACATTATTTAATTCTGTCCACTGGACTTGACTCTTCCCGAAGCATGTCACAATGCCTTGCAAAGCACTAGTCATGGGAACATGAAGTTTTAGGGGAGGAAGAGAAGAAGATTCAAATTTAATTTTGAGTTAGGCGAAAAAAAACGAAAACAAAAACCAAAAAACAAGAAGAGCTGACTAGTCCCAATAAGATATACTAAGATCTCCACCATGAACAGAAACTCGAAGGAAACTGGTGACAAAAAGTTTCAGAACCTCTTTACAGGACTTCTGCAGTGTTTGCAGAAACTCTGTTAATCCAGTTGATGGCATCACCACAAGTCTGACCCAAACAAAGCCCTATCTAACTGAACATTACTGAAGCAAGACTGTCCTCAATTAGGTCTGTGCAAATCCCTGAAAGAGGATTTGGTAAGAGCTTGGCATGGCTGAAAAACCTCTGGCCTCCTCTGACAACTTGCCCTGGTCCGCTACCATGCAGATCATCAGAGCATTTTGCTCTTTAAAAAGCACTCGGGCAAATACTTATGGATTTTAAGAGATGAAACGTGATATAGTTTGTACATGATGAAAAAAAACAGCAGCCCAGCCAGAACCAAGTATGGACACTGAGCCACTGAGCTTCACTCGCAGTTAAATCTTCCGCGGTGCTCAGCCCGGGCGAACCAGCCTGATCTGCTGGGCAGAATAACGACACCAGTTTTCACAGCCCTCTTCCCCCTGGAACATCGTACAGTCAAGATGCCCCCAGTACCTTCAGACGCTCTTCTCAAACTCCAAGTGCTGCTGGTGCCTCACTTTCGTGTTGCGGGAGCCCCTGAGCTGCAGCCCAAGCTGGGAGCTTTCCCAGCGTGGGCCTGGAGGCCGAGGGCAATTACAGAGCTCCGCATCCGTTCAAGCTCCCAACCTCCACAAAGCCCTACCTGCCCATTAGGTAAGGAGCTTCTGTTACATTTTTTTGAAACTGCCACTTAGCCCCCCCGAGATTTCCCCTT